ATGATAACGATGATCAAATCGATTTAATCGATATTAATGCCGATACTTTTAATTTAAGTGAGTTGATTGGAAAAAATATTTCCATTGATAAGATTATTATTCGGAAAAATAGAAATGTATATAGATCTGTTCCATATAATTTAAACAAATAATCTATTCAGTCTTGACCGAGTAGATTTTTTTCTACGTAAACTCAAAATGTCATCAAACTGGCAATCAAAATTTAAAATCTTTAAACCAGCTTTAAATTGGGAGCAAGTGACGAATCCTTCAAAACCAAAACACAAGCTAAACAAATATCGAACTGTCAACATAAATGACAAACTCTATTATGAGGTTTCTACTCAAACCCCTGATATAACATTCCTGATCGATATCAAGAATTTTTATTTGCTTCAGAATTATACCTGGACTTGTGTTAAAAGAAAATTTGATAATACATATTATATTTGGTCAAAAGATAAAAGAAAAATTTTAAAAATTCATCGTTTGATTCATCTTGAATTCAAAATGATTGATCATATTAATCGTGAAGGACTTGATAATCGTGAATGTAATCTTAGAGAGACAACTCATCAACAAAATATGCTTAATTGTAAATTACAAAAAAATAATTTATCTGGATATAATGGAATAAATTTTGACAAATCTTTAAATTGTTGGAGATTTCGGTGGGTTGAAAATAACAAACTTAAATCTAAATATTTTTGTATTAACAAAAAAAGAACCTCAGAACAAGCTAAACAACAAGTGATTGATTTTAAAATCGAGCACAATAAGATCACATGTAATCGAAACGGAAATCTTGTAATCTATTAATAAACATCTGCTCAGTCATCAGACCGAGTAGATCTTAATTTAGTCAATTTTTTTAACAATGTTAAAATTTGTTATTAATAAAATTATCGAGTTAAAATGGCAAAACCCGTTTATTTTTCTTATTTTTACTATTTTTATTTATCTTATCATTATTTTTTTTATTTTTATTTACACCAATTTGAACAAGAAACCTAAAATCATCGTTTTCACGGGAACGATCGGTGCTGGAAAAACTACATATGCAAAAATGTTTCAAACATATCTTGAGTCGAAAGGATTCTCTGTTATTCATAGGATAGAAGCAAGTCTCGAAATTCCTGAAGAATTAACGTTGTTTTATCAAACCAAAAATGCCCTTTTTATTCAAAAAGAAAT